ATGCAACGGGGAGAGAGAGCACGCAGGCACAGTGCCGGCATGAGATCAGTCAACCCGGTTGCTTATTCCCTGACTCCACTGTTTCCCTCTTCGAGGCTCGCTGAGAGAGGAGAAACGAGAGAGCGAGGCTGCCTTCATAAAGGCGGTCCGCGAGCGGAGAAGAGCGAGACTCATGCTCTCAGTAAGAGCATTCCGTCTCAGTGAGCGCGCAGCTCTGTGTGGGGGCTGCCCAGACAGGCAATGCACGCACTGCCCTTCTGCATCGTGCAGGGTTCCCTGCACAAGTCACACTCACAGCGCGACATTTGCAACAACGTCGCTAGAAAATTTGCTCTTTTTGAACTTACCTCCTTAGAAATAAGCTCTTTTAGGCTCGCCGGATGGTGGCAGGGGATCAGCAGGGACTGCTGCTGCTGCGACGCTGAAGGTGGTGGAGAAGCGGCGAATCAGCCGAGCAAGAGGGTTGCTGGTTCAGCTTGATCCCCTGCGAAGGCATTTCAACGGCGAGAGAACTAGTCTCGTAGATCAGCAAAGAACGTCGTCGCTGAAGGAGAAGAATTCTGAGGATCCTATGGCGAAATGCCCGCTTATAAAACCAGATGGCCGCGCGTCTTAGCAGACGCAGTACGAGTGAAGTATCGATAGGGAACATCTGTTACGATCTAGTTCAAGTAATGTTCACCACAGACATATTTTACTCATCTGTTAAAAACCTATATAATAAGTCCATAGTAGCTCATTACAAATTATCCTACCAGACTGGCCTGCAAATTGATGTCATGATTGAACAACTCTATAGTAGAATAGCAATTCTCAACATCAAAAATGTTCTCATCAAAATAAACTAAAACTAGCTTTGTAATACACTTGTCCTGTAAATACATGTCCTGAGTCTGACATACATTTATCCACAAACAGACTAACAGTGCTAAACAATTTCCAAAACAGTACCTATGAGTTCTCGGGTTTTAGCTTCAATCTCTCCCAGGAGTGTTTCTGGATTTGCCATTGATTTCTCCTCATCACAAGAGTAATTTTCCAGAAATCGCCTGTATTCTGGGTCTGGAAAATGATTTTAAATAAAGTGTTAAACAAATGTATTAGCTTTCTGCAGTATATATTTTGCTTAGTAAAGTCACTTTTTATAAATACTTGAAATTTATAAATAATGTTTTATAAATTAAAAATATAAACACCTTCTTCAATAGTTCCTGCTTTGGCATCTTTCTTCTTTAACTTTTTCTTGGAAACCTTCTGAAATGGAGCAAATTCTACAACAGCTGGATACTCTTGGCCTAAATTTAAAAAATATATAAAACAAATATTATATTAAACAAATATTTAATGGACTTGTTATATATTAGACTAAATATAAACCATTTATATTACCACTATTATACTTAAAGGGGTCCTATTATGCTCTTTTACAAAGTCTTAATTTTGTTTTGGGGGTGTACTAGAGCAGAACCTTTATTGTCAATGAATACATAGCCATCAAAGCGATCTCTGAAAATAATGATATCCTCTGGGTTTTTGAAGTTGATGTATGCTCTTGAGAAGAGATGTGGGTATAAGCTGGGGAAATTAAATATATAAAGACATGCACATGTATAAGATGCTGACAGTGCTCCTGATCACAGTATATTCATATACACAAACCAAATATACCTCTGATCAGCGGGGAAGAACTCAAAATAGTCAAAAGATGGAAGAGGACTCAGATGCTCCTCGAGCTGGTCTTTTGATAGACTGGGTGGCAGTCGGCGTATGACAACCTATACAAAAAGAAGCATGTTTAAACAAAATTGAACTAAAAAAAATCATCAAAATCAAAGCAAGATCAGCACCCACAATTACAAAATAATAGTTGCAAATATTAGAAATAAAATGGCAATAACAAAAACGAACATGCCATAATGTGTGTGTAAAACACCGCAAGAGATAAAAAAAAAAGAGACCTAACTAGTATACAAAATAAAAACTGAAATTTTAGTGCTGAGGAGGGGCTGTGAACATTTCTCATTTCTTCACTTATTACAGTCTAATTTTATTGAAGAGTCCAAAATCCCTGTGCAGGAACCAAACAGAATGCTGTTATGGTCCTTTCATGTCATTTTAAATAATCTTTTAATCCAGTCCTCATTAATTGCAAATGCATGGGAAAAAACTAACAGTACATTATTTAGATATTTCATGTGTTCCATAAATTTGAGTTATACGTGAGTGTGAGTAAATAATGTCAGAATTATCCCTTAAGTTTACACACATACATTGGCAATATATAAATATTAAAAATATACATTTTCTCATGTCTATTGCACCATTGACTGTGCTCTTTTCTAAAATTCTAGATGCATATAAATATTCAACGCCTGGATTTAATTAATCCACCCAAAAGGGTAATTGCGTAGGAATGCAATGATTGATGCCACTGGGATCTTCGTTTCGCCAGGCTGTCCTGCGTTTTCGCTGTCTATGGTGCTGAATCCCGTTCCCTCCATCATCATCATCATCATCACACTCTCCCCCAGCCTACCAAACAACTGCGCCACTTACCTTGGTGAAGATCTCCTTTTTCTCCTCCTTGTGCCTCGGGTTCACCGCGACGTTGTCCTGCTCCCTCTGACACTCCCTGAACTGGATCTCCACGCTGCCTCTCTCCCTGCTTCCTGTTCTCTGCTCCTTTTCAGACCTCATATCTCCATTTCGCCCTCTTCGCTGTCCGAAATCCGCAAACTCTCGCGGGAAATCACCCAAACACCGCGAGGCTTGCACGTTAGTGTTTATTCCATAGACTGTATTATTCTCTTGTCACGTCAAGATGAATAGCCTATGTTTCGTTGCATTTTGTTTATACAACAAAAACAGAATTATGAAGCAGAGCTACGTTATTTAAAATTGTAAAACTAAATAGAATATGGTTATTTGGGCATTACATATTTGGTTCATGTTTTGATGTAGATACTAGAGAGATACACTTTAATATATTACTCAAGTAAAACAAATCTCTTCATTTGAGCAAGGTGAAGGGGGATAAAAACAGCGACCATGACTGTCATCGTGTAGTGCCGGGAGCCGCGGTGTCGTCCTCGGAGTCGCTGTCGGTGCAGCTCGTCTGGACGCACGGTGGATCCGGTCCGAACGGGCTGCCGGTGCTGACTGAGCTCCATACGCCTGGGCTGCAGGGCTGACTCACGGAGCGACCGTAACAGTCACGACTAGGAACTGCAAGAAACACGAGGCCACAATCTGTCTGTAAACGTATCTGTCTGTGTATCTATATTCTGTTTCCATTCCCTTACTAATCTGCAGATTTATCTATCCATCCGTCGGCGAAAGCATTCAGTATCAATTATACAGATATAACCTATCCATTATATTTATTGTCAAAAAATGTAGACCTGCCCCGTCTAGCTACAAAAGTATATAACTGTTTATTTATCTGCAAAATTATTTATCCGTTCGTCTACAAAAAGATCTATCCACCCATCTGCGAATCTACTCCACTCATAAATCGACTCATTTATTAATCACACAAATGTGTCCATCTGTATCTTTCCACAGCTAGACCTCTATTTATCGGCAAATATATCAGTCCACCTATGAAAAAGCATGCATACAGACAAACCAAAATTTATTCAGACACCTTCAACATTTCTCACATTATCACAGCTTATTCGCGATAGTTTAAAAAATGGTAATAAAATATGACAAGAACTCAGAGTTAAATGTTTTAGATAACTTTGATAGAAAAGTAGGCTATGTAATGGATTACAATCAACCAAAAATTATTCAGCTGTTAAATTTAAGTAGCCTACACAATTAGATAATACCAATTTAGGTCAACTAATTACCAAGCAATGCTTAATTTTGTTCAGTCTGTGGTGTAAAAAGGTCGCATTAGCAATTTAAAAAAAAAACTTGACAAAAAACAAAACATGGTCAGGTCAAAGTGTCTGAATAATTTTTGGTCCCACATTTCTATCAGTTTTACTGGCAGTCCACTGTATGAAGAATGTTTGGGTATAATATGTCACAGTTTTATTTATTTTATCCTCACTTACAAAAATGAACTATACTGTCCTGCACCCACAAGTAAAAAAATATCAAAAATTATATCTGGTGTCTGATTAGTTTTTGTTTTGACTGTATGTCCATTCATTTATTTATCTGCAAATGTATCTATCATCTGCATACATATATACAGTACTTTATCAACAAATATGATCTGTCTATAAAACTAGGCATCCAGCTGTTTACCTATCTGCCCATATATCTTTCTGCTAAAGTATTAGCCTATCCACTCATTTATTTATCTAAACAAATGTGTCTGTCCACCTGTCTCCTGTTTCCACAGATATATCTGCAAAATTGTCAATCTTCCCGTTAATCTATATGCAAAAAGTATCTATCCAACCATTTACTTGCACAATTCACATCTGCAAAAGCATCCATCAGCAAATCCATCATCTATCTGCAAAACTATTCAGTTATCTCAAGTTAATCTAAGACAAGTATCTACTATCATTTTTTAATCCACAGAAGTATCAGACCCACTCTATATTAAATGTCTTTAACCACTAAAAGTGTCATTTTGATGCAATGCAATTACGGTGCTGACTGTAACAGTATCAAAATTTAGGCTTAATTTCCATTGGTTATTGTCAATAGCGTAAAAGTACAGCTCACAAACATAACATTGGAAACGGCGAATTCGCGTCCACGATTCAAAATGTACAAAAGTTTATGGAGCAACAATAAATTTATATTAACATTAAATTTAAAACAAAAAGCTTACACTTTATTTTAAGGTGTCCTTGTTACAGTGTAATTATACATTTAAGTACCGAGTAATATTAACTGCATGCACTTAAGGTTAGGATTAGGGTTTGAATAGGGTTACTTGCATGTTATTATGCATAATTTATTATTATTATAATAGTAAGTACCTTAAAATAGTGCTACCAAAACAAAACAAAAAACAGCTGCACATAGTTATATCTAATTACACCTGTCCTTAACTTCAGCATCCCTTCTCTATAGCAGCAAGTGATTTGCAATACATCATACAATTATGTACAGTAGGTACACTGTTCCTAGCATTTATTTTATTTTTATTATTTATAAGTATTTAGTAAAGTCACCTAATATAAAATGGGACCAAAATCCATTGCTCTACAAATACATCTATTCATCCATTTACTCATATCTATCTACATTATTTCCTCTATTTAGAGTATCACTATCCATAATTAAATGTGTTGTAGTGTGTCTTACCACTGAGAAATGTTTGCTTCCCGCTGGCCGTCTCAATGCAGAGCTGAGGTGAAGGCCTCTCTGGCGTGGAAACAGAGCTCTTTAAACTGGGCACAAATGTGGAACAGGTGTCCAGATCTCGACTCACACGCACCTGCGAGTAGGTGATGTTGGATTTGGATGGTGTGCAGCCCATGACTAATTCTGCTGCTCACAAGCCAGCTTCCATCTGGGGAGCATCCAGAGTGACACAGCCTGCACATTTCAGTGGCACCAAACAAAGACACTTCTGCTGTAGTTCAGGGGCCGATCTGAAAGACCCCATGACGTTCCTGATGCACAATTAGGGAGGTGTCAGATGCCCCCTTGAGAGGGGCTTTGAATACAGCAAAATAAATAAATCAGGAACACTTTAAAATAACTTTCAGTGGTAACATCAACATACGCTTTTGGTCAAACATTTGGAATAAAAGCAGTTATGCAGCTTCATATTTTTTTGGAACTTTGATACATTTATACAGCATTTATTTGAAATATTTTGTAACTTTATTAATGTCTCACTTTTTATACATTTAATGTGTCCCTAAAAAAATAACATTTTAAAATAGAAAATTACTTCAAATTGTAATATTTCACCACACTACTGTTTTTACTGTATTTTTTATCAAATAAATACAGCTTTAGTGAGCATAAGAGATTTCTTTCAAAAACCATGTTTAAAAAACTTTAATTATTCCAAACGTTTGACTGGCAGTGTACACTGTTATCACATAATTCATATTAATTATCATATTCTTGTATTTCACTAATGATCTGGTTAGACAAACTAACCAAGCTTTTATAAAGCGTTACAAAAACAAATTTCCCAAAATGAATAAAGTTGATAATAAAATCTGTGGGCTGGTTTTGGTGAAATGCACAGATTACCTTGCATTCTCAAGTTCAAACACAGATTTGAGATGACTGATAAAATCACTGATCAAAGTCGTTGCAAGTAACTTCCTTTGGTTGACTAATTTCAGGGTTTTCTAAACTAAATGCAAATGTCAGCAGATAAATGTTATCGCCTGATTGGCAATGTAAAAATCACATTTTGTTCAGCTTCATCCACAAAACAGGTGTTTTAATAGAGCACCAATGAGAACACACTAATCTGTGTAAAAATATGGATGCAGGGTTTATTGATTAAATCATTCGAACCCTTTTGCATTCACTTCTTTACATTTATTCATAGTAAAAAAATCCACAGGGGTCCAACACGGAGGACACGGCAGGGGTGGCGGATGGAGGGAGGGTGGGTTGGTTGTGTCCTCATTAGCGTCACATTCTATCATCATCTCACGCTCAAAGTTCCTCTTTGACCCATTAATAGGTCTCAATCACGTGCTGGTGTCAGACATGGATGTCTCCAGCATCATATCGCTCTCATGCATGTCACATTCTAAGAGGAAGCGCTGGAAAGCATCGGTTTGTTTGTCAGCATTGAAAGACTGTGTTTCCAGGCACACGTTCACCTCTTCTACGGGTTGTGCTCTGCTCTCATTGCCGTCGGCAGAAGTGTTGAGCATCTTCATCAGTGCAGGCGAGCTGAGGGTCTTTCTCACTTTGTCTTTAATATCAGTTCCTGCAAAACAAGACAACTTAATAGTTGCAAAGAAAATTTGTGAATCAGATGCTGCGTACAAAGCGCATGGATGGTTGTCTTACCAATGTAAGCATCCGAGTCGCTGATATACATCTCAATGCAGTGACCCAGCATGGTTACGGAAAATGTGTCATCTCGTTTAAGACCAAGTGCCTAACGAAGGAGTTTAAATGTTTGAAGTGAATCATAATTGATTAAAAAAAACAGACCAACAAATTATGATGGTTATATATTCTCACAGTGTGAAAGTAGTCGATGGCACTCTCAAAATCTCCCATGAGGCTGTGCACATAACCGATGGCTGAGTAAGTGGAGGCATTCTGTGGGATGAGGACCAAAGCTTGCCTGTGGTATTCGAGAGCCTGTTCATATTTCCTACACAAACAAGATGAAAGCAATCACTGACCTGATTTGTGTCTATTGCAACAGATCAACGTCTAGACAAGCTCGCTATAGAAGCAGTGGAAAATGGTAATCAAATGTCGACTTGAGAGTATAAACACTGCACATTATCATCGATTTTTCATGTTTAGTGTGGGTCTAGTTTGCCACTTTTAGTACTTTTAGTAGTATGTAGTAGATTTAGAATTCTGAACATTCTATCAATGTTGAAATTTCCAAACTTAAAAAATATCTTCAAGTGTGAATTGCGAGCCCTTTGATATCCAGTGGGTGGACATGCATAATTCATGAAACACTAGAGTGACAGAACAAAACAAGCACTGTATTAAAGTGGAGAAAACAAGACAAATCAGAGAAAGGATGCCATGTGACCATGCCCAGTTCATGCTCTTCATTAAAATACCACTCCTGATCATTTTAGAATACCACTCCTGATCATTTTAGAAGCAGACACTTGTTAGTCACAATTCCAGGTTAGTGCGTCACTATGGCCCAGA